AACTACAATATTCAAAATATATTATATATACACAGGATTTTCCAAAATGCACGTAGATAGCTGGTGGGATTCTTACTTAGAACACGGAGGAACCCCCAAAACCTCTATATAGCGATGTACATACGATTCGAACATCAGGTTTGGAAAGTTTTTATTATATGAATATATAGTGCCGGACAACTACAATATTCAAAATATATTATATATACACAGGATTTTCCAAAATGCACGTAGATAGCTGGTGGGATTCTTACTTAGAACATGGAGGAACCCCCAAAACCTCTGTATATATATATATAGCGATGTACATACGATTCGAACATCAGGTTTGGAAAGTTTTTATTATATGAATATATAGTGCCGGACAACTACAATATTCAAAATATATTATATATACACAGGATTTTCCAAAATGCACGTAGATAGCTGGTGGGATTCTTACTTAGAACATGGAGGAACCCCCAAAACCTCTGTATATATATATATAGCGATGTACATACGATTCGAACATCAGGTTTGGAAAGTTTTTATTATATGAATATATAGTGCCGGACAACTACAATATTCAAAATATATTATATATACACAGGATTTTCCAAAATGCACGTAGATAGCTGGTGGGATTCTTACTTAGAACATGGAGGAACCCCCAAAACCTCTGTGTATATATATATATAGCGATGTACATACGATTCGAACATCAGGTTTGGAAAGTTTTTATTATATGAATATATAGTGCCGGACAACTACAATATTCAAAATATATTATATATACACAGGATTTTCCAAAATGCACGTAGATAGCTGGTGGGATTCTTACTTAGAACATGGAGGAACCCCAAAACCTCTGTGTATATATATATATAGCGATGTACATACGGTTCGAACATCAGGTTTGGAAAGTTTTTATTATATGAATATATAGTGCCGGACAACTACAATATTCAAAATATATTATATATACACAGGATTTTCCAAAAATGCACGTAGATAGCTGGGGGGATTCTTACTTAGAACACGGGGGAACCCCCAAAACCTCTACTTAGAACATATATGAACATATATGTTCTAAGTAGTGGTCCAGGATCTCTACTTAGAACACGTTTTGGAATTCCAAAACCAATGTTCTAAGTAGTTGTCCGGCGCTATAATATAATATATAATATATAATATAATATAATGCATTACAATATAATATAATATAATATAATATATAATATAATATAATATAGTTTAATTTAATATAATATAATATAATATATATACATATATATATGTATACGCCCAGCATATAATATAGTACTAATGTACACATTGATTCTATGGATTGTTTTTGTCCCGTCACTGGGATTCACAAAATCGATGGTTTCTGGGTGAAAAAAAGGCGTCACCTTCTGTTTGAAGGCTGAAGGCAGTCGCATGCTGAAAATGGACGTGGAGGGAGCTGAGTGCCTTGGAATCATAGCACACTTTTGAGGTTTTCCAGGGGGGAGATGCCATGTATTTGAGATGACCCCAAGGTCCAAGCATATATATATAGATAATTATATATATATAATTACATATATATATATATATACACTATCTGGAGGAATTTAAGGTCACCTCACTTCGTTTTCCGCGACTGGAATGATGGTGAATGTTTTTCGATTCCCCATGGTGGCTTAACTGTCAGGTGACTGCAATAGATGATGGGTATAACAATCAGAAATGGTGGGTTTTTACCATGAACATATGTGATTCAACTAGGAAGACGCTTAATTAGTATCGTTTGGCTTATGAAGGTACATACTAAAATTACTGGTAGTATATATAATATATAAGGATATCTGGTTGGTGGTTTCAAACATTTGGATTATTTTCCATTTCATATATGGGATGTCATCCTTCCCATTGACGAAGTCATATTTTTCAAGATGGTTGTTGCACCACCAACCAGATATTGATTCAACTTCCAGACAAAGGGTAAAAGGTGACCCGTGACCCTCAAGTTTGGATTTGGGTGAAGTGCGAATCTTAACCAGCAGCAACCACCGGTAATAAGGGGGTCGCCTTTGGGTTGGTTTAATCGCCATAATTTTATGGGTTTAACATTTAACAATGGTTCACCTCTGGGAAGTGGGGGTTTAGATAGCATTAAATGCGGATTTAGTCAATGAATAAATTGGGATTTGCTACACTATTTTGGTGTGTTTGAGAATGGAATGAATGGACCAGTTTGGTTACTTTTTCAGGGGAAATCAGAGATCATCACCAATCAATTTTGTACTAGATATCTCTATGGGCATTTTTTTCCATGGTTTCTTGGGGATACAACAAATCAACGGGTCGTAAAAAAACCATCCACGGTGCGGTACCCGCTTGGCCGTGGCCATGGCTCTTGAAGATCACCATATCAATAGGTTTATTGTCGATCTCGAAATAGGCGATTTTCAATAGCTACCCGGCCTGGTAATGACTGTAACATTGCCCATTTATAGTGGATTTACCCATTAAAAATGAAGATTTTCCATAGTTATGTCAACGTTTACCAGGCCGGGTATCTTGCATTACCAGAGTACCCCAATTTCTCTCTGGTGGTGGATGATAGATTTCGACCCATACCCAATGTCAATGGGAGATCTCCAGGATCCAACAGATGGAGGTACGTAAACGTACCATATTTTTGGCCATATATTGTGGGGATCCAGAAAAAATAGGCCTTTTCTTTTATTGCAGGTAGCTCTAATCAATCGGTTCCTGAGTCATGGCCATTGACAATATGATCAAGAAATCTTTGGAACATGAATGGATGATTTTTCCCATCATCTTGGGAATGGAATAATCATCCCAACTGACTTTAACCCATCATTTTTCAGAGGGGTAGGTTGAAACCACCAACCAGTTGATGGTTAAAATTCCCATAATGGTTAGCCATAACCAGCATTATTGATCACCATTAACCAATATTAACCAGCAACCAGTAGTATGGTCGATGGCCAGGTTGCACCAATGGCATCCAATGGCCGGGTTGGGGTTGGTATAGATAGCTTCATGATGGGATGAGCTGAATCCCCTGAATCCCCGAATCTCTCTGCATCCCTCAATTCTGGTTAATATATGGTTAATCTGGTTTGTTTTTAGTGTATATCCCTGTACATACTCACATAATTCATCTTATACGTTGTGTTCATGGCTCAAGCAAAATAAGCGCGTTTGCTGATGCATTCAGGTTGTTTAACCTGTCAAACAGGTTATCAGCCGTAAGCTAGTTCTCTTGTAGGCATGTCGGCCCCCTCGGGAACTTCCACCGAGGGCGTAGGGACCCGTTCATCCTCTGACGCAGCCATGGCGAATCCCGGCAACCTGCCTATAAGTAACACCCCATTTAAATTTGATATAAGCACCCCACCATCTTCCGATAAGTCACGAAGCCTAAGGGAACGTCGCCACCTCCCACCCATGGGTAACGCAATTGTGCCTTCCCATGTGGGTTTCAACCACCGTGGTTATGTTCCCCAAGCCGCTCGGGAGGGTGGGCCGCCGACTCGCCAGTTGAACCAAATGAATGTTCATAACACTTTCCATCACAATGTGCAAATGGATAATCCTCAAGTGAATTTTGTCGAGCAGAACTTGCATGTCCATTCACATGATTCTGCAATGACAAGCCTTGTGGAAACAGCGGCCGAGCTCCGTCATCGTGAGGTGTTGGCTCACACCGAAGCCCAGGCCGAAGCCATCCACGCGGCCAAGACTGAGGAATTGAAGGAAGCTTTGCGAGTCCGCGAGGGCATTGAAAGTCAGAGGGCCCTAGATGCTATCAGAATCAAAGAACAAGAACTTTTAAATGCGGGTGCTCAATATAAAGAGAACTTACAGCATGAGGCGCACGAACACGTAAGGTTCCGTGAAGCTCAGATGAATGAGAAAATTCAGGCATATCAACGTGTCATTGATGCTGACCATCGACAATCACTATCAAGTAAGGAGCAAGAGATCCTTGAGTTGAAAAGAGCAGCTGAGGAAGAGAGAAGGGTTCAGAATGAGCGCATTACACAGCTTGAACACATGGTACAAGCCCAGATGCAACAGAATCTGAAACTGCAAAGTATGCTCGATTCCCAATTTGCTCAGGTTCGTCCAAGCCCGATCGTTGAAACTGCCGCCATGACCATCACAGCCGGAACTCATGCATCAACGGAAATCCCAAGTTTTGAGTTTGTTCCACCGACCCGCAAGGCTGCACCCGCAGCACCTCCGACGAGTGTTGCCCGACCTCCTATTCCAAGAACACCGATTAACTTTACTTCACCTGGTACTGAGACTTATGAAAAGGATGGTATTGAAATCGTTTATCATGATCCATCATATCAAGCTCCAATTCATGTGAAGAAAGAATCGGACATTGCAAGGTCATCCATGGATGAACGCCCTTCGGGAGGAGAGGCCACCACTCGACGCCGTGATAACCATCCCACAGATAAGAGCAACTCCCCTGCACCGACCAATCTATACACCCCGACCGAACTAGGCCCTGAAGATATGGAGTACTTCGAGCCGGGGGGCGACGATGCACCTGATGGGGACGATCCTGGGGATGGAGGAGATGGCAACGGAGGAAACGGGGGAGGTGGACCACCATCACCACCTGATCCAATGGATAAACCTGAAGGGGATAAGAACCGTAAGGTGCCCAGAAAGAATAGGGCTGGTCCCAATCCTCCTGACGGCGGTGATGACGGTGATGATGATCCCGATGATGATGATGATGAGAAGTTCAGGCGAAGAATGATCAAATTTCTTGGTGGTTACATTGATCCAAGGCATGATGACAAACCCAAAGTCAAGGAAGCTGACACTATCAAAATCCCAGCATTTCCATTGGCAGAAACCTATCGTAATTGGAGAATTAAGACCAGAGAAGCAGTTGTAGCAGCATCAACCGATCCCGACAGTGCTTTCAAGTGGGTTAGTGATTCTTGGAAAGAAGAACAGACTCTTGAAGCGCTCCGGAAGGTTGCGCCGTTTGCGACACTTGATGCAAAGTTACTTTCTGCACTCACGAACATCATCACTGGTGACTTCGCCCGTAAGGTAGATACCTTCAAAGAGACTGAAGCCACTGCTGGACGGATTGTAAGGGGAAGACAAGTGTTGTTCATGTTGCATGACCACTTCAGTACCAACATCAAGCACGGAGCAACCTATGCCCTTCAAGATTTGTTCAGTGTCCAACTGCGTGGGGAGAATTTGAAGTCATTCATTTCGAACTGGGATCAAGTGTTGGCTGGTATCGTGCAGACTCCTGATGTAAGTGTATTGGAGACGCTCTTCTACAAACAAGTGAAGAATTGTAAGGCCATCCAACATGACATGAATGAGTATCATAGAGCTGATGAAGGAACCGAAAAACGAAACTACAGTTTCCTTGTTTCTGCCGTGCGACGCCACCTTGACCGTGAGAGGTTGGAGGCAAATCGTGATCGAGTTGCCAAAGGTCTTTCGGGTTCCGGTCGTCCCTCCGCTCCCGCAGTCGAGGGCAAGACAGGATTCATCCCCAAGGGGTATTGTGTGGCATGGAATAAGGGAGGCTGTAGCAAGGACAACTGTACTTACAAGCATGAAGTCCCCAAGCCACGTGACAGAAGTCGCAAACCCAGCAAAACCAGAGGTCGCTCTACTGAACGTTCTGGTTCTCCCAAGCCAAAGGGGAAAGGCAAGAAAATTTGCAAGTTTTGGAGACAGGGACGTTGCGATAGAGGAGCTGATTGCAAATTCCTTCATGAGGGTTCAGTGGGAAAACCAAGACAAGCTACTCCTGCCCGTTCGGCCAGTAGCGAAAACAAAAACAAAAAGAAAAATCCTAAGAACCCGAAAAGGAAGGGATCCCGAAGCTCTAGCTGCTCTAAGAGCCCCAAGAGCCCGAAGTCCCCGAAATCCAAAGGATCCGGGGCCAGTTCATCTAAGCCGTCACCTGCCGCAGTTTGTCTTGTTGCATCCATGCTTGCATCCGTGTCTCAGGCATTTTGTATCCCTCAACCAAGAGTATTTTGTCCATCGATTCGTTTTGATGATTCACCGGACGTATCTCATGTGAAAGTCCGAGGGAACTTGAGGCCAATTGGAAACGCAGTCACCAAGGATAAGGTTACCTTTCCGTGGGGACATCAGTTTGAAGTTGATCAACTTGCTGTAAATGATGCCGCTTTGACCGGTACCATGTTAGCAGGATCCGTTTCCAATTGTCTTCGGGGAATTGAATGCAAATGTGCCTATTTATGTGACACAGATTTTGGTTGCAATGAATGTATCCCAAAGGGAATCAAAGCCACCCCTGCGGAATGTAGAGAGGACGTAAAAGGAGCGATCAACCTCGAACTTGACTGGATTGCAGATACGGGGAGCGCTCAAGATCTTGTCAATGATAGCGAATTGCCAGATGACTATGGGTACTACTCCAACAATC